CCATTGAATCCAGATGTTTACTGGTCATGGTTTCGGCTAGTACAAGCTAGACCCTTGGTCCTGCTGGCATTTTGCACTCACCTCCCCGCATCCGGCAAAGATTTCCAGGTAGTCATAGTCCTGCAAAAGCGCACGAAGGCTGAGATGGGTAAAGAAAACTAAGACTTTGACACAAACAAGAGCCCCCAAACTTTTCCTACTGTCCTGCTTGTGATTCAACTTGGGGTTGAAGCCCAGCAACAGGCACACCAAGATCAAAGGAATCGGGGCACCACAATCAAGCAGCTCAGCCACCACCATTGTGAAGACACAAGAACAAGCTGTTTTTGCTTGTGCCAGAAACTACCAAAGACCACAAACACATCGATCAGGACTTCCAAAAAAAACTAGCAGCCTGCAAAAACGACAAAGGCGGAGAAGCAATTGCAGAACCCTTTCATTTGCAAGCGACATGTTCGGCAGCTAAAGCATGCCTTGCAGCCAGCAATCCTCGATTCGCAAATTAAACAAATTAATGTAGCGAAGATCAAAGCACAGGCCCTGGCTTATGGGAATCCCCACGGCCTACTTCGGAACCAAGGCCTTCTGAACCTAGCTCCAGCTTGCGAAAAGCTACGGCGAATTTGAGAAGCAAAGCCCAGCCCTGCACGTGGACATTCTATTGAGGCTATATAAGCCCAGAAAGTATAGTTAAAACCGATGAACCATAATGGGCTCAGGCTTTGTCGATCTGGGCTCTGCAAAAACTGCAAACTAGTTGAATCTCCTCTTGCTCAGCTCAGACTTTGACAAGCCTGCAAGGAGCGACGCCCGGAGCGGGCTTGGCAACCATCGCTGGCTCGCCTCCCTCCACGAGAGGCCTTCTTTCTCGACAAGCTTCCTGATGAAATCAATCCGGGCCTGCCTGAACTTGCCAGGCTGATAGCAGGTTTCCACTGCTTCTGCAGATCTCTTGGGGGTGGCATCTTTCTTGCCGGTTTTCTTGTTGCCTTTCTTGCGCTTCTTTGCGGGGTGTTTCTTCTTTCCGCTTGTCCCCTTCATATCCGCGTCAACATCCGCCTCATCATCGCTGTTGTAGTCGGCGTTCTTCCACCTAAGCTTTTGGAAAATGTGTTTTTTGGAGCCAGGATCTTCTAGCTCATAGCAAGCCAATTCACATCACTCCACGAATCAAGGCTTAGGCACTGCAGCTTGGGCTGGAAAGGTTTCGGATCATCCGTAGCAATGCTCCGAAGACTCGACAAGACCTCATGAGTAGATCAATGTTTGCGGGGAAGCATCGAAGCCATAAGCATGAAATACCACTAAACCCTGCGTCAAAATCATGAGCTAAGAAGCTGCCGCGGGAAGAACATGTTCATTGCCTTTGACATCCTTGAGGCCTGCGGCCCGAAGCTTCTCAACAACCTTGTCGACACGCTCCTTCTGGCTATCGAAATTGCCAGCCTTCACATCGCTGATGATGCTCCTGGGCTGCGGTTGTTCTGGGGTTTAGGGTTTAGGGGTTGTAGGGTTTAATAGGGTTTATAGGGTTTACAATTTAACGTTTGAAGGGTTTAGGTTTTCCAGGGTTTAGGGTTTGTAGGGTTTAGGGTTTACAGGGTTTGCTTCCAAGGGTCTAGGGTCGATCGAGAGTCTAGGGTTGACGGGGCAAATGGTTGAAGGCAACAAACGCATTCCGAATACAACGGTTTGCCCACAATCCGATCCAAATAAATTAATTCTCAGGGTTCTGCAATCGGCTCATCAGGGGTGATTGCTTGCCCTCAGGAGTCTGGCAAGGACCGTTCTTCTTCGTTGCACGAACCTGGGCAGCTTTACTAAAAGGAGTAGAAGCCAGAGCACAAAGCAAACCACAAAATGCTCAAGAGACTGCAGCCCAAAAACCGGTGTTACCAGTGTCTCATGACTGCTCAAAGTGCTGAGGCTAGACATAGCATCCCTTGCTGACATCTCCTCATCCGAGGACTCCGTCGTCTCTGACTCCTCATTGAAGGCCGGAATATTGGAGTCACTATTACAGAAGGGTCTGGGCCTGGGGTCAGGTTGTCATCTGTAATTAAAGATCACAAGGTTTCCACATTCTTTCGAGGTTCCTTCCTCCGTTTCTTGCTTGTGAATTTCTTTTTCGGGGGCAAGTACCGGCCGAGCTCCATCTTCAGCTCTTGAAGGGCTACCTCATGGGATTTCAACGTCCTGCGCGTGAGGGCCTTGAATTTTGTGGCCTGAGTTTATCAGGCAGCATAAATATTGCACCCCCCCGCTCCCCCCACCCCCCCCCCCACCCCAAAGAAAAGAAACGAATGCCTAGTTGCCAGCTTTCGAAGGGCCACTGCTGTTCTCAGGGACCAGTCCCGAACAGCTGAGCAATTGATAGATATGCCTCTTGGCATAGACCCCGGCACAGTCGAGTACCAATGAAGTATCGCTTGGCATATCACATGAGCAGAGTATCTTTTGCGATTTGGAGAGGCCTTCACGACTGCTGCCACCGCCTGGTCGGCTTGGCTTAGCAGCAGCAGCGGCACCAGCAGCGGCAGCAGCAGCAGCAGGTACAAGAACAATAGCAACAGGCCCCTACCCTGAGTCAGACCTTCAAAAGCCAGGCTACACGAGGGTTCACTGTAATGTCCTTCTTCGTAACCGCTTTCTTCTTGAAGAGTAATTTGCCGGATCGATCCAGCAACAGGTTGAAGCCCAACTGAGTTGCCGAGCCATGGGTGGTTGTTGTTTCTAGGTATATGGCAGGGGGCTGAGGCGGAATTGGGGGTTTTGCAGTGAGGTACATTCTAGATCTCAAGAAAACCTTCCCAGACACAACCTAGACGAATCCTTCTAAAGCTGCAAGACACCCCATGAAGAGAAGCTTCTGCTTGGAACATTTTGGAAACCTCCATCGCTTCATCACTGAACTCCACTGGTGGCTCCTCAAACTCTGCAGGCAGGCCCGACATGGCCACAAAATGTAGCCGAAGACCCTTGACACCTAAAGCCCTCGGTTTGTGGCCACAAGATGTGCACGCAAAAGCTTTCACAGAGTCTGTCCCAAACCTTCTAGCCTTGTTTTTTTTCTGTCATAAACCCATTCATAAATACATGTACAGAAGACAGAAGGTCACAGAATCGAACCCTGATCATGATTTTGGCCTCAAAGTCTTCATATGTGGCTAACACACAAAACAAATGAGGTGTGCTTTGACCTGCTGATATCTGAAAACACTACTGCTCCGACCGAGTTTGAGGTCGTTGAAGCCAAATGCTTTCACGGACTGTAGCACATAACCGCAACACAGAGTAGGAATCACACAGAAGTGTCAGAGCCCTTGCGTGAGGACATGCTTTACAGCCAAGTCTTGTCGACCCTCAGCTAGAGCTCACACACAGGGAGAAGGGGGAAGCACCTTCGTCGTCTCCCAAGAAGAGGCTCTCGATCGTACGCTTGACCTGCAAAGTCTTAAGCTTCAGACTCCGGAATTATCGGGGAAGCATGCTCTTCGATCCTGGGGTTCTGACCATGAACTTGCATGGTCACATTGGGCTTTGAAGGAAAGCACCTGCCCAGAATAAATTGATGGAATCTTGTATCTGGCATGGTTGGCACTGCCACAAAAAATGGTCAACCATTTGAAGGCCTAAAGCTCCCGGCCTCCAGCTCATGCTCCGGCCACAGCCATGTCCATCGTTGACACCCGTACAGTACACAGTCAGACTTAAAGCAGAGCTTGCAAACATCCTTGGTATTTAGGTTGCAGACTCTTGCAGACATGAGTTTCTTGTTTGTCAATTAGCTTGCAATGTACAGCCTGCTGCACTGTATATTGCCTCCAATGCCTCCATGCACTGCACAAGCCACACATGTCTGCCCGCTGTGGCAGGAGAGCAAAGCAAAATGAGCGCGAACTTGCAAACACAAAGAACTTGCACATAGCAGCTTCCACATTTTTGACATAGCAGCATGTCCATTCGCAAGCATTTGCTTTAATTGGTCTCATTAAGTTGCCAGGGTAAGGCCAAATATACTGTCCGCCCCGCCCCCCCCCCCCCCCCCCCCAGGATCGCACCTACCATGTGTGTTGCTTAAGCAGCATGAGCAAACATCTAATCGAGCCGTCCCTTTGCTGCACCCTTACCCTGGCGCCACAAATTGTGGCAAGCACTGCAAGAGTGGTGATGGCCGTCCAGGCCAAAATCATTGTAGCAGGGGCCTTTTCTGGAACAAGTGCCCTGCCGGCAATGGCTGCAAACAGCCCGGACACACTGTCTACTCCGTGCAAAAGTTTGCTCTCGATCGGCCAATTCTTGTTCTTTCAATTGCAGCTGCTGTTCCCGGATCATGAGGTGGCGCTCTCTCTGAGCCAACTCCCCTTCTCTCGCAGCCAGACTGGCTTCCCGATCCACAAGCTTTCTCACACGGGCATGCTCGCCCTCCTGCATCTCTGCAGCCACACCTGCTACATCCTCGATCGCCTGTAGGCCCATGGTTTCTTTTCCTCAACCTTCTACAGCTGCCACGGGTCTTTGGGCCAAAACAAAATACCTGCCAGCCAAGATATGCCCAGGCAAGGGCTTTCCCCATCGAAAGCACCGTAGAAGCCCTCTCTCTACATATATGTATACATATATATATATATATATCTATATCTCTCTCTCTCTCTCTCTCGATCTCTATCTTTCTCCGGCTTTCTGTCTCTGTATCTCTCTATCTCTCTCTCTCTCTCTCTCCGACTTCGCATATTGCAGGTATATATTTTTTACTATATTGATTTGATGTGCACCACTGGGGATTTTACATCCACTACTGGGATGTAAAACCCAGAGGCGTTTTTGTTCATCCTTTTTTTACTCTCCCACTGCTCCTCTGCCAAACCTGAGGCAGAACAGCTCGAGCACACATGCACTGACCCTCTCCAGAAGGATCTTTGCACATATCTATACCTGATTGCCACAACCAGGCAGCTGCCAAATACGATTGCTGCACTCCAAAGCAAAGCCAAGACCGGTCACACAGCCACAATGACCACATTGCTACCTTGCCTCGGTTACACCACAAAAGTGACTTAGCATAAGTCACTTGGAGCCACGTTCGTTAAAAAAAAACCAAATTCTGGAAGTTACAAGCTCTTCTTTTTAAATAACATATGGTCTCCCAGGAAATCCTAAACCCTAAACCCTGTACCGCCCAGCCTTAAAGCTGCTGTCTTCCTGGAGGCCACCAATCTTGGCCCCGGGGACCATCGCCGGGGGCCTTTCTCAAATTGACCAGTTGTTGAAAGTGCCCTAATTAAGGACTTAGGGTTTAGGGTTTAGGGTGTAGGGTTTAGGGGCTAGGGCTTAGGGTTTAGGCTTTAGGGTGCCCGAAATGAAGCGGGACGTGGTATAACAGAGAACCGAAAAGCGCTTGGGGGGGGGGGGGGGGGGGGGGGGGGGAAGGCGAAGGTTCAGTGCTGCACGTAACAAATCTCGGGCGGGTACAAAATTCTCCCCTGAACTCGAAAGCGACTCATGATTCTTCTTACTGTTGGTTAGTAGGGAATGGGGGAATGAGGTACCCGATATAATCCTTTAAAGGGTCGGTCCTGATTCCCTCATTCCCTGAAACCCTAAACCCTAAACCCTAAACTCTAAACCCTAAACCAACAGCGGCTTGGAGTATGCCGCCCAGCCGCATGAAGAAGTTCTTCACTCCGCTAGCCTCATAGTGCTCCTGCTGTCCTTCGTGCTTTGAGGGTTTAGGAGCTTAACTTTAAGGGTAGAGCGAGTAACCCTAAACCCTAAACCCTAAACCCTAAACCCTAAACCCTAAACCCTAAACCCTAAACCCTAAACCCTAAACCCTAAACCCTAAACCGCGATGTTGGGGTTATAATCTAAGGCAAGCAGTAGGAGTTTCCTGTTGGCACCTTCCAAGCCTCAAAAAACCCACTCTCAAAGCTACTGGTGGTTAGGTATCTAGTGTCGCCCTTTGGCAGGTCATAAAGAATATAGAACCGATTCTTAGATCCCGGAGTAACCTAGGAATAAAAAGGGGTGCCTGTTTGGGTTTTAAGGGGATGATAAGGGAACCCCAACCCTAAAAGAAGGAAATCGGGGCCTACCCCGGGTCCAAATTTCCAATATAGTCGTATAAATGATCAACACCATAGCAATAGTCATAAGATATAAATATAGTAGTAGCAAAAACATCATGGTGCACTGGACTGGCTGTTTGACTCCCTAGGCCCTACGATCCCAACAAGAAAGAAAGCACAAAGCGTTGTCTGAGTAAGTCCCTGGTGTCTCATGGCTGCACGAACATCATCCAGTGTGGGCACCGGTGGACGCACGGCCTGCTCAGCTGGTCAGGAGCAGAGTTGCCCGGTCCAAAAGAAGGGCGCAGCAGAGTTTAGGAGTTTAGGACAACGTCCGCTGTAAGTTGAATCCCCGACAACCCTGACCCTTACATCCACCCTAAACCCTAAACCCCCAAACCCTAAACCCTAAACCCTGAACCTTATAGCCACCCTACATCCAAAGACCCATGCTCCAACCCCCCCCCCCCTCTAACACCCACTCAAATCCCGAAACCCCGAAACCCGATGCCCGAAGCCCCAGGCCAGAAGCCCTCTGAAGACCCGAAAACCCTTTGGGTTGAGAGTGCAGGGCCTGATATCCCAAAATAACTAGCATCTTATGGGCATGTCTTGCGGGGGGGAAGGGGGGGAGGCTTTTGGTTTGAGGGTTGAATTAGGGTTTAGGGTGTAGGGTCTAGGATGAAAGCCCGCATAACAAGGACCTTATAAGGTTATAGGTTCTGCGGATCATGCGTTGGAGGCCTTGAGGGGAGTTCAGTGGCTGTATCCCGGCTATTGCGCGGCGTTGGACTGAGGATTCAGGACTGTTTAGGGTTTAGGGTTTAGGGTGTGTTGGTGTTTTCGTGTCGTGGTGGGTAGAGGCTGTCGTGTCCTTCTGAAGCCATGCAGCCATTGAAATAGGATGAAGGGAAAAGCGGAACTTCTCGAGGTTCCGGGCTTGGGCACAATGTCCATGGACCTTGAATTCGATGCCTCCATCCTTGCACCTTTGCTCCCCAAACCCCAAACCCCAAACCCCAAACCCCAATCCCCAAACCCCAAAAACCCCACATCCCAAACCCCAAAAACCCCAAACCCCAAACCCCAAACCCTAAACCATAGCCACCATCCACGAACCCCTCGGTGGGCCTGTGTGAGAATCTTCGTGGCCGCAGAATTGCATGAACTGGAGCCGTGCGTGGCCAACCACACGCTGACGATGCCAAAGGTGATCGAGGAGAAGACGCTGTTGTTCCTGCGGCACAGAAATATTCATGAAAACATTATATCTATAGATAAATATAAATAATATATATATATATATGTATATATATGTATATATATATATATGTGTGTGTGTATGAATATGTCTATATATATATATATGTATATGTATCTGTATATGTATAGGACCAAACATCTCCCAAACACACACGACAAAAAGTGGAAGAAGCGCAGAGTTCGCAGTTAGAGCAGAATCAACCTTAGAGGCAACAGGAATGAAGACCACTGATCCGAAATGAAGGTGGCATGGGTCGAAGCCTACAACTTCAAAGCCCAGCTTAAACCCTAATCCCCTCCGCCCCAAACCCTAAACCCTAAACCCTAAACCCCTCAACCCCCCCCCCCCCTCTCCAGATCAGGAGGAGCCAGGGCGGTTCCATCGGAAACTCCGAGTACCCCACGAAGATGAAGCCAATGATGCATGTCACCTGGAGGCCGGATCTATGCTCACCGACAGGCGAGGGTTGAAGGAGGTTTAGGGTTTAGGGTTCAGGGTTTAGGATTTAGGGTTTAAGGGTTAGGGTTTAGGGTTTAGGGTTTAGGGTTTAGGGTTTAGGGTTTAGGGTTTAGGGTTTAGGGTTTTAGGGTTTAGGTTTTTAGGGTTTAGGGTTTAGGGTTTAGGGTTTAGGGTTTAGGGTTTAGGCTTTAGGGTTTAGGGTTTAGGGTTTAGGGTTTAGGGTTTAGGGTTTAGGGTCCAGGCCCCAGCTTGGCCAGCTTAGGCATCTGTGATGGCTAAGTAACCCTAAGCCCCGAGCCCTGCAAACCCTAAACCCTAAACCCTAAACCCTAAACCCTACACCCTAAACCCTACACCCTAAAGGACGAGGCACCAGCAAAGAGCCCACCACCATGTAGGTGTTCATGTTCGAGGTCGTCAACTCAAAGAGATCCCGGACGTCTTCCCGAAAGAGTCGCCACAATTCCAGCTTCATGTTCTGATTCCTCTGGGGTTTAGGGTTTAGGGTTTGGGGTGTAATTTGGGTTTGGGGTTTGGGGGTTAGGGATAAGGCTTAGGGTCATACTCAGATTCCTCTGGCGGCTTAGTCTTTAGGATTTTTGGGATTCGGTGCAGTGGTTTAGGGCTGCACTGACATCTTCAAGGCTCTAGTTTTTCTAGCCACTAAAACCAAAACGGTTCCAGAGCGCAACCTGCCCCCCCGGGGTTTAGGGTTTAGGGTTTAGGGTTCCACCCTGCTGAACTCAACTCGACGCCCCGAACACAAAACTCCGCACGAAGATCTGTGGTGTAGGGTTTAGGGTTTGGGGTTTAGGGTTTAGGGTTTAGGGTTTAAGGGTTTAACGGTTTAAGGGGTTAAGGATTAAGGGTTTCCGGTTTAGGGTTCTTTTGCATGGCCCTTAAGCTCTGGACCCCTTTTCCTTGCAGCCAGGATGGCCATGAAGACCCTCTGAAAAAAAACATTCCTGAATATGATCCTCTTAATTAAACCCAACCAAGGGAAAACATCAAATGTCACAGGGGGCCTACCTAGACAACCTCCCAGGAGCAGAAGAGAGTCTGATGTATCCGATGCTGGCGCTGCTTGGCATTGAACTGATACCTCGGAGGCATTGATTCCGCACGTTAAAGGCCCAAACCCTAAACCCTAAACCCTAAACCCTAAAGCCTAAAGCCTAAACCCTAAACCCTAAACCCTAAACCCCAAACCCTAAACCCTAAACCCTAAGCCCAAATCTTATCGCCGACTTCCGCGAACCCTCAACCCCCGAAAAGAAGATGGGGCGTAGGGCCATGAGAAGTTCTGGGGCGTCGCCTTTTGGGTCCTAGGGTACATCCTGAAACACACTCTGTTCCTTTCGGGTTTAGGGTTTAGGGTTTAGGGTTTAGGGTTTAGGGTTTAGGGTTTAGGGTTTAGGGATTAGGGTTTAGGGTTTAGGGCTTCGGGTTTCGGGCCTTGGGTTCTAGGGTGCTTCAGGCCAAGCGCCGGCCCAAGTTGTACTTGTAGGCAGTTGCAGCATAACCTGCTGCGGCAGCTGTGCCCGCTGCGGTGAGCATCGGGCCGCTGCCTGGGATGCTTCAGGAGCGCGAGCTTGGAGGCTTCTCAAAACCCTAAACCCTAAACCCTAAACCCTATATGAACCCTAAACCCTAAACACCCCCTAAACCCTAAACCCCCTGAATCCCTCAACCCGGTTTGGGAGTTGACAGGCTGGTGGGTTCAGGGTTGCCCTAGATGTCCCCTGTGCCCAGGATAGAGCTGTAGGGTCTAAGACTCAGAACCCTAAACCCTAAACCCTAAACCCTAAACCCTCAACCCTAAACCCCTACATGGGTGGGCTTCGGGTTTGGGATTTAGGGCAGGTGCACGCGGCCTCCCAGATCGAAACAAAGCTTTCCAAAGAAGCCGCGTGTCTTGGCGAGCTCGCTACGAAGAGGGAGCTACCGCCGCCCCCATCTGAACATAAACATCTGCGGGCGTCGCCGCAGCTCGTTCATGAACTGCGCCCTAAACCCTAAAAACCCTAAAAACCCTAAAAACCCTAAAAACCCTAAACACCCTAAAAACCCTAAAAACCCTCAAAAACCTAAAAGCCCTAAAAACCCTAAAAACCCTAAACCCTAAAACCTAAACCCTAAACCCTATTCTTGTTGATCCGCGGATACATCCCCAAAACCGACAAAGACATCGCCGACAGCTTTGATAAGAAACCACAAGACCGTCAGCTGAAACTTACCACCACCCCAGCCTAGACCTCCGGGTTTAGGGTTTAGGATTTTAGGGTTTAGGGTTTAGGGTTTATGGTTTAGGGTTCAGGGTTGAGGGTTTAGGGACCCGCAACCCATCAACCATACAACCCCTAAACCCCCATCAACCATACAACCCCTAAACCCTTCAAACCCCTAAGCCCCTCAACCCTAGAAACCCCTAAGCCCCTTTCTCCCTACTTCCGAAACCCTTGCACCCTCATTTCGAATTTCATTATGGAGTCTAGGGGTTAGTGCTCAAGGATCTGAACCCTGGGCCCCTGGACCCACAACATCTGAGACCCTAAACCCTAAACCCTAAACCCTAAACCCTAAACCCTAAACCCTAAACCCTAAACCCTAAACCCTAAACCTAATCCCAATAATCGTGCTTGGCCACGGGCCTGCCAACTGAAGCTCGGAGGTGCTCCCGGTGGGCATGAATAGGGTGTAGGGTTTAGGGTTTAGGGTGGGTTTAGGGTTTAGGGTGTAGGGTGTAGGGTTTAGGGTTTAGGGTTTAGGGTTTAGGGTTTAGGGTTTAGGGTTTAGGGTTTAGGGTTTAGGGTTTAGGGTTTAGGGTTTAGGGTTTAGGGTTTCGGGTTTAGGGTTTAGGGTTTAGGGTTTGGGGCTTTCATAGGTTCTAGGGTTGCCCAGTAACCTAGGATTAAAAGAAGGGTGCCCGTTTTTGCCTGAAGGGGTTCATAAGGGATCGTAAACCCCCCCAAAAAGGGCAGAGGCCCTAGAACGTAAGTCTTGAGGGGTTAACCAGCAAGATTATCGCCCTAAGCCCTAAGCCCTAAGACCTAAACCCTAAACCCTAAACCCTAAACCCTAAACGCCTGCGCGGCGGACAAACCCGAATCGAGGATGCTTTGCAAGTACCTCCAGGAGACTCATGGGAAGCAGGGAGCTCAAACACGAGATAGGGTTTAGGGTTTAGGGTTTAGGGTTTAGGGTTTAGGGTTTAGGGTTTAGGGTTTAGGGTTTAGGGTTTAGGGTTTAGGGTTTAGGGCTTGGGGTTTAGGTTTTGGGCGTTGTCTAAGTCCAGTATCCATGAGAGGGTTTGGATTTTAGGGTTTAGGGTTTAGGGTTTCGGGTGTAGGGTTTAGGCTTTAGGGTTTAGGGGGGTTCCCCCAGAAACCCGATACCCCAAAGTCTACCTTTGCCTGCTATTTTCTGCGGCACCCACCCAATAGACCTCGCTATGAGGCATTTGAGTGGGCTATATGGGGACACCAGTTCCCAAATCCCTTAGACTAAGAACTGGAGAAACTGTTCCTGTAATTATACAGAACGTAATTATCACCCCCCCCCCCCCTCTGTGTTTGCAGAATCCTTCCGGGCCAAAGCCGGTTGAAAAGCTGCCTTTTCCTTGGTTGCTGAAAACAATAACTTGAACACAAACGTCATCGACTGCAGGTTCAGGGTTTAGGGTTTAGGGTTGGCCAAGGTTTTCGAGCTAAGGGCTTACAAGGCTTGGGGCTTGGGGTTGGGGTTGGGCCTTCCTTGAGGCTGCGTCAGGTTTAAGGTTGTAAGGCTTTGCAAGGCAATCTTGAGGGTTTGGGGGTGAAGGCAAGGGTCAGCGTAAGTCCAGAGGCCTTTAATTACGGAGCCCGCGGCCTGTGACCATACCTGGGGGGGGGGGGGGGTTATGAATATGAAAGTCAAGCACACCCTCATCCCACTCCCCAGAAGATCCGCCCTACTCAGCCTGAAAGCCTTAAGCACAAAGTAACCTGAAGACCTTACGGGTTTGACTCTCAAGCCCCCCCCCACCCCCCCGCCCCCGCCCGAAATCTCGAAATGCCGGGTGCTACAGTCCATCAGGGATCACCCTGCTACCTCTCAACAACACATTTGTTCACCCTGGCAACGGTTTGGGGTTAAGGAATTCAGGGTAGGGGGGGAGGCGGCTGGGGGGTCGTGTTCGGACAGGAAATCTACAGTACAGCTGATGGCTTGCTCGCATTTGTGGGAAAGCTTGGATTGTGGCATTTTTGGAGGTCCTAAACCCTAAACCCTAAACCCAACTTGAAATTTGGCATCTTTTCGGGGTGTCCGCTTTCCCACGGAGCCTCTCCACGTCTCCCGTGCCGGTGCCTTAACGAGCGCAAAGGGCCCTTCAACCGTGAACCTAAAAACCCAAAGTCCTGGCTTCTTGTACTCGCTGGACCTTATTGAACTTGGTGTGGCATGGCCGAAGCCTGGTAAATCCTAAAACCCTAAAGACCGAAACCCAAAAAAACCCATATATAAATCCTAAACCCCTAAGGCTTTAAACCCTAAAACCCAAAAATCCTAAAACCCTAAGGCCCTAAAGCCACTCATGCAGAGCAGTTCGGCGCGTGAGTAGTATGTCGTGGCGAGACCGGATCCCTACAGGCCTTCTTAGGGCTTCGATGGGTTTAGAAGTTTTGAAGTTCACGGGTACTTGTAAGTAGGGGTATAAGTCTCCTAAATAAGGTTGTAACCATAGTTACCCTACTTATCACCCTACTTATAATTACCCATGAACCTCCAAGTAGGGCTCACAAAAGCCTTTACTCCCCGAACCCTGAAGCCCGCAAATGCCCCCCAAAAGCCTTGAATCCTCGATCTCAGGCCCTAATCCTAAACCCTAACCCTCAACCTGGGAAGTACGCCTACTTCACGAAATGTCTCAACCTGATCTCAGAACTGGATCAGACTGCGATGGGTTTAAGTGTAAGGGTTTAGGGTTTCGGGTGTAGGGTTTAGGGTTTAGGGGCCCTGGACCCACTCAAGCCCTAGACCGAAACAACTCTGCAGCTCGTCCGCGAACAAAGTCCCTAAACCCTAAACCCTAAACCCTGAACCCTGAACCCTAAACCCTAAACTCTAAACACTAAACCCTAAACCCTAACCTTTGAGCGCTCCAAAACTTCGGGTTGAGACTTGGGCTTTCTAAAGCCTGAAACCCTCTAGAATTGATACGCAGATTGGCCCTTAACGCCCCCAAAATTTACCCAAACCCCAAGAGCCCAAACCAAAAAAAACAAAACCCGAAAAACCTAAACCCGAAGCCTTAAACCCTAAACCCTGAATCCTAAACTCTAAACCCTAAACCCCAAACCCTAAACCCTAAACCATCCGATGGCCTCGGTGGCGCGCAGCGTCGCCTTTTGCCTCACGATGTAGGGGCTCGATTGTCTGTGGCTTCGGTTGAAGGCTCATTCATACGTAAGCTTGCCCAGGGTTTGGGGTTTAGGGTTTAGGGTTTAGGGTTAAGGGTTTAGGGTTTAGGGTTTAGGGTTGGGATGTTCCCCCTTATACGAACAGCCCTTAGAAGGGACTATAGTTGGGGGTACGTTAAGCTAATCCCTATCTCCTAAACCCTAAACCCTAAACCCTTATTACGGACTCTAGGTGCCAGTTTCGGGGCTTGGGCTTCGAATCACGCGGGTTGGTTTCTGAGCTGAGGATCTGGACGTAGGTGGGGGTTTACGAAAATCGGGGACAACCCTAAGCCCTAAGCCCTAAGCCCTAAGCCCTAAACCCTAAACCCTAAACCCTAAACCAGATCCTCACCTAGTAGGATCCCCTCATTACAAGGACCCCGCAGATCGTAAAACCCCCCAAGTGAATCTCTGCTGTGCTGGATGAGTTTCAGCCCGCCAAGGTGGCTCAAACTCAGTAATTCTGGAAGCGAACCTCTCAGGGTGCATGTCATACCAGGCGTCAAAAGACAAGTCGTTTTGACACAGTCTGTGCAGGTCCCGCCCCCCCCCCCCCGACCCCCTGCACCACGAGACTTGCCTTGAAGACTAGATGTCACAACCACGAGAAATTGTTGATTTCGGAACCCACAAGGGTACGTACCACGGGTGCCCAAGTCCATACTACAAGCTACAAGAAAAGTAGACTCCAGACCCTAAACCCCAAAACCATACAAGCCTAAAGCCCTCAACCCCCGAAACCTAAACCTTAAAACCCTAAAACCCGAAAACACTACACCCTAAAACCCCTAAAACCCTAAAACCCGAAAACCCTAAAACCCTAAAGCCCTAAAGCCCTAAAACCCTAAAACCCTCAAACCCTGAAACCCTAAAACCCTAAAACCCTAAAACCCCAAAACCCCAAAACCCCAAAACCCTAAAACCCTAAACCCTAAAGCCCTAAAACCCTAAAACCCTAAAGCCCTAAAACCCTAAAACCCTAAAGCCCTAAAACCCTAAAACCCTAAAACCCTAGAACCCTAAAACCCCAAAGCCCTAAAACCCTAAAACCCTAAAACCCAAAACCCTCAACGGATGGAAAGAATCCAACATGCCCCTGGATCCGGAGTGTGCCGGAAGAACGCTTTTAACCTGAACCGCGAACCCCAAAACCCAGAAACATATATGTTTAGGGTTTAGGGTTTAGGGTTTGGGGTTTGGGGTTTAGGGTTTAGCGCCTCGCCATCGACCAAGACCCCCCGCAGGAAGTGTTCCAGCACCTGAGCCGACATACGACATCCCCCAAGCCCAGAACAGTAAACCCCAAAGCCTAAAAGCATCCCTAAACCCTAAACCCTAATCCTCAAACCCTAAGCCCTACACCTTATAGCCTAAACCCTTAAGCCCCCAAAACAGGGCAAACAACCTTGGAGGCGGGAAAGTTCAAGTTCTCAGGGTGTGGAGCTTTGGTTTTCGGGCTTAGGCTTTAGGGCTTAGGGTTTAGGGCTTTGGGTTTGGGGCTTTGGGTTGAGGTCTAGGGTCTGTAAGGGCTGTCCTCCAAAAACACCAAACAAGTATCTGAGCATTCCCAGCTGAGCCCGTCAGCCTTTGCTGTATAAACCGTAAACCCGAAACCCTAAACCCCCCCCCCCCCTAAACCCTACACCCTACACCCTAAACCCCAAACCCCAAGCTGAAAGCCCCTCATGCACGAGCTGCCTGGCAGCTTTTCACTCCCACGATTCGCATCCCAGCTGATCTAAGTCGCGCGTCTCAGAATCAGCGAGTAGGTGGGGTCCTCGGTCGTCCGGGCACTTCGTGGTGTTCTTAAGGTTTTGGGTTGTAAGGGTTTTGGGTTTTTTTTTTAGGGTTTAGGGTTTGGGGTTTAAGGTTCTAAGGGTTCTAAGGGTAGGGTTTAGGGTTCTTAGGGTTTAGGGTTCTAAGGGTTTAGGGTTCTAAGGGTTTAGGGCTTCTTGGGGCTTAGGGCTTCTTAGGGTCTTGGGTTCTAAGGGGTTAGGGTCCTTAGAGTTCTTAGTTCTTAGGGTTCTTAGGGTTTCGGGCTCTCAGGGTTTACAGCTTAGGGCTGTTGTTGGCTTTTGCGCAGCTTCGGTAGATGCATCTCCTCGCCCCGAACCATGAGCGAAGCGCGAAGACAAAGACCAATCACGTCGTTTTGAGGATGGTTCAGCCTAGCGTACGTCCTGCTTGACCTCACAGCCTTCACATCCCCAAACCACAGACCCTGAAGCCCTAAACCCGAAAGCCCCGAAACTCTTCCACCCTGATGTCCCAAACCCTGCACCCTGAAACCCTGAACCCTGAACCCTGAACCCTGAACCCTAAACCCTAAACCCTAAACCTAAACCCTAAACCCTTGAGAACTGACACACTGAAACCCTGAAACACCCTGAAGAGCGCTCAGAGCCTACAATCTCCCCAAGTCTACCTGACACCCCAGCACAAAACAGCCCCAAGTTCACCAAGGGCTCTGAAACCCCATCGCCTAGGATCAGGTTTAGGGTTTGGGTTTAGGGTTTAGGGTTTGGGGTTTAGGGTTTAGGGTTTAGGTTTTAGGGTTTAGGGTTTATGGTCTAGGGTTTGGGGTTTAGGTAGAGTTTGGGAATTCTGGGAGCCTGGAGTGCGCTACCATACGCCTGGCAGCTCAGACAGCTCTCAACACTACACCCTAAACACTAAACACGAAACCCTAAACCCTAAACCCTAAACCCTAAACCCTAAACCCTAAACCCTAAACCCTAAGCCCTAAACCCTAAACCCTAAACCCACTCAAAAAAACACAAAAAAAAGGACTAAGCTCTGCAAGAAGACGCAGGCTTCCGGGGCCCACGCCCAGTTTTGGTCAAACCTTTTTGGCCGGTGCAAGAGTTTAGGGCTTCGGGTTCTAGTGTATATCTATGGTGCAGGGTTTTGGGTTTTGTTGCTACCCCTATACTGCCCTACATTGGTCCTGAGATGGAAACTAGATTCATTATTGGCCCCCTTGTCACCCTGTCACCCTGTCACCCTAAACCCTAAACCC